CAGCCCCTGGCCTTGTTTTGGCTGTAAATATCAAGCTTCTCCATCACCTCTTTGCACAGATGTAGTCGATCTGATTCCTGTGTATTCTATCTGGCAAAATCTATGTGGGTAGCCACCATTTATGTTGTTAGTAAAATTAATTTGCAATGAATAAGTCATTGGTTTTGCAATATTCTATCATGTGATCTCCAGTGTTATTTCTATCACTGAGGCCACATTTACCAATTACCAACTATTCTTCACTTCCAACTTTTGCATTCCAATCAGCAGTAATAATGAACACATGTTGATTGCATGTTTGGTCAATTACAGTCTGCAAAAGTCGGAAAAAATCTTCAAATTCCTCATTTTTGGTTTTGCTGGTTGGTGCATAAATTTGAATCTCGCTCACTGTCATTGGGCTGGATCTGACTCATAGAGACCCTGTGTTAGACTGGGTTCTCTAGAGAAACCAAAAACCTGCAATTTATATATATATAGAGATAGAGATAGAGATAGAGATAGAGAGAGAGAGAGAGAGAGAGAGAGAGAGAGAGAGAGAGAGAGAAATTTATCTTATGAAAATGGCTCACACATGTATAGAAGCCGGCAAGTCCAAAGAACCTGGATGAAACGTCGGCCTGGAGGCAGACATATCTTCCACAAGCACAGGAGGCTGAGAGGCTCAAGGCTGGCAGGCAGTACACTGGCTGTTGACTCCAACAAAAGATGAATCCAAGATCTCCAGGCTGAACGGTGGGCTGCTCACTCACGGAAAGTTGTAGGCAGCACACCAGAGTCCTGATCCACAGAAGAATGTCTCTCTTCCCAGGATGTCCCTGGATATCCTGGAAACAGGCCACACCTCCCCTTGGGCAGATTGGCCACTCAGAACACAGTCATCCTATCCCATCATGGGACCAACCACACAGAACGAGGTCCAGCCAAGTTGACACACAGCTCCAACCATCACAGTCCACCCCTTGTCAACTTGGCAGTTGTACACATCTTCTTAACCCTATATAATCTCTAAATCAGGACAATTAGTGAATCATATTTGTGCCTAACATGATACTTTAACACACATACAACCAAAATGCATTAACCTTATTTACATTTCACAGTTCATAATAGAAGGAATCAAAAATATTTGATGCACATATACAATGAAGAAATATAACAATCACAGTCCTCGTTTCTGCAGCTGCTCACGTGGTCATAGCTGATATTCAGAACCACCCTCTTCCACCACCCATTCTGTATTCCCCTTGCCCTCAGGAAGCACCTCAGTTGGTCGTGGTTCTTTGCCTGGTGGGGTGGACCTAACCTTCATTCCTGGAGGATCTGGGCCATTAGCAGTCATGTCAGAATAGGGTTGCTGTCATTTTCCATTGACTTTATCTCAGGGCATGGTAGTACTAAGAGACGTCCTAAAGAATCTCCTGTATTCCAGACATATTCATCTTCACCTGAGTTATGTAAAGCCAACCCAATTTTCCCTTGTTAATCAGTGTCTGTCACACTAGATAGTACAGTAATGCCCTTCTTTGTCTGTTGATCCAGAGGCATGAGAAAGCCAAAATGGCCAGGTGGCATTCTTAATTTCCAGTTCAATGCAATCAGTATTGTGTCTCCAAGTCAGAGTGTTCCTCCCTTTGGGACTAAGATCTCCAGACCCACAGAGCAGAGGGTAGCAGAGACAGGAAGCAAAAATTTTTTGAGTGTGTCACTAAGGGTAATAGTGAGTGGTACCACTCTTGTTTCCACACCTTGGTTCCTCAACCCCTGAATTCTGGCTGTTGGAGAAACAGAACCATATATTGGACGCTGGTTTAGAGCATATACAGTCCCCTGGAGAAGATTGCCCCAACCCTTCAAGGTATTGCCACCTAGCTGGTGCTGTATTTGTGTTTTTAAGAGGCCATTCCATCTTCTATCAAACCAGCTGCTTCAGGATGATGGGGAACATGGTAAGACCAGTGAATTCCATGAGTATAAGCCCACTGCCTAACTTCATGTGCTTTGAAATGAGTTCCTTGATCCAAAGCAATGCTGTGTGTGATGCCATGACAATGGATAAGGCATTCTGTAAGTCCATGGATGGCAGTTTTAGCAGAAGCATTGCATGCAGGGAAGGCGACTCCATATCCAGAATAAATATGTATTCCAGTAAGAACAAAACTCTGTCCTTTCCATGATGGCAG